CTGGATAGAAAGAAAGCTTGTGTTCTTGCTTAGTATTGGGGTAGGCAGAAGAAAGAATTTCCTACTAATTGCTAGTTTAAAAAATGTATTTGGTTTTCAAAGCTTCTATTTTGCAAAACTGAATAGAGAAGTGGCCCTTTTGAGCAATCCATGCTCTTGGTGAAGAGCTACAGCATAGCTGGGTTTATCTGTATGATACTGGGGTACACAAAAGCCCCAAAGGAAAGTATAGTAGCAACAGGGAAAAGAAAAAGAAATACCTGATTCAAATATATGCGCCAACTGAAAAATCAGTAAGTATGGATCTATTTTATATTTATCATATGCTGTTAATATCCTATCTTTACCAAACTGATCCTTGCATTGACTAATTTTGCCAGCATCATTTGCATGACTTGTATCCTGGAATAGAATATCTGCCTGTCTATCCATTTCTCCCACACCAGCTCCAAAAATACTATCCCCTTCATGTTCTACCACCACTATCTTCATTCAAATTTGTCGTTTACTTCTAATAGAGATTACCTATCTATCTGAACATTTCTAATGTGCTTTTCACCATGGCATTTGGGCATTACAAATAAATACATAGATACAGGTCTTGCCCATGATACTCCATTTCAGCTGATAATAATTCTGCTAACTGCTAGTAGTTCAGTCTCCTTTTTACTCATTTAAAAGATTTTGACAGGAGAGGAGCTACATTCCAGTTGACGCCTATTCTTCCAGATGTCCTAGTGTATGTCAGCTCAGGAAGTGAAGATGAATGACCATAGAACCCAAACCATACATTTCGAGTGCTCCTGCTGAGATGACTTAAATTGAATTAAGCCCAGTGATTACAAATCTGAGACATGTTTTCATTCAGTTACAAAAAGATCAGGGACAAATTCCTAACTCCTCCTCTTTTGGGCCCAAATTAAGAGGGAGTAAGTAAACTCTTGTTCTTTCTCTGAACTAACTGTTGAGGGTGACAAGCTGCAGAGTACATCTATCTACTTCCTTATTATTCAGTAAATTTTTGTCTGTATGGTTCATTGGTAATTAAAGTAATAAACACCACTGAGTCACTAGTTCACCAAAAAAGTTTCAGTGAGCTAAAAACAGACAACCAAACAAGGTCCAAGCAAAACAAATGAGACCAGTGATGTCATTATTGTCTTTTCTGTTACTCCTTTTTGTCATTCATTTAGGTAACTTATTTTTGTCTACATTCATTGAGAGCCCAGATGCAAAGTTTTTCTGAAGTTTAATTAGAAGCTTTAAAGATATACCTTTATTTTTGCATTTTGGACATCAAGTCTAGATCACAAAGTAATTGCATATGGAATAATGTAATTTTAGTACTTGAATTTGCAAAAACTTACTCGTGAAGGATCATGTGACAGAAGTCCTCATTACAGAATCAGGCTTTTCTTTTCCTTTCCTTTTTAATTTTAAAATGGGAACAGATGGAATCAAACATCTTTTATAAGGGTATTTATATATCCAAGGAAGTTAGCACTATGATATTACAGATTAGTCAACTTTAGTCTGTGGTGATAATTAGGAATCTGTCACACATACAGCATTGTACTGAAGTACCTGTACTATAGATTGCACAACAACAAATTATTGTGGTGCTGTCTTAGGGAGAATGACAGTATAAAGCCTGTGAACAGCAACATCTTTGAAGTACTGCAGCAGCATTTCCAAAAAAAAATAACCCAAAAGTCCAGTTTTTGCTCAAGATGAGCAGATACATTCATTTGCTCATGAGTGAAAATAGTTGTGGTTGAAAATCAATTTTCCATCAAAAGCAGTTTAGACTGAAGATTTTCTACATAGTTTAGATGATGTAATTCCCAGAATTGAACAATATACCTAAATAGCAGGCATACTTGTACCAAAACTGTTTAAAGGACTTGTGTTACAGGATTCTTGCAAACACATCCAAGAATTGCATGGCGCTTCTCTTTGCAGAATAGCATGTCTAATTTGTCATTCCCTAATTCTCTGGGTCTCTTCCAACAGTACATAGTCCTAGGTGTCTGCTTTCTACTGTGTGTGTGCATATGTGTATTTTCGTTCATATGTATTGATGAAAAAATATGAACATTTAATTTTTCAAAGTAATTCTTCCCCAGGGAATTTTCAAATGGAAACTTGTTGATGGCAAACATTTGACCAGATTCTAATAAGCATATTTTTTATGTGAAAGATACAAGCCCATCTGTATAATCTGATTTATGTTTGACCTGGACTCCATGTATGGCTCGTGTTCCCAGAATGATGTTTCAGCAATATAAGATCTGAGTCCTTGGAGATCCAAATGATTTCCACCTCACAATCAGATCTACATCTCCACTGGTTTCTGTGGAATGTGGGACATGGTCCTTTCAGAAGCAGAGCCATCAGAGCATGAGTGATATGTGCCCCCCGCAGCGGACGCGTGGCTGCAGTAAGAGGGAGCTCCTGCAGACGCCACCAGCACTGTCAGTGGGAGGGGAGAGGGGTGGCAAGTGGTGACCAGGGGTTGACAACCACCTACAGATGCTGCCAGCAGTGGCAGCGACAGCAGCAGCAGCAGCGGCAGCCAGTGGGGATTGCTGACCGCCCACAGACGCTGCTGGCGGTGTCGGTAGCTGGAGGAGGTGGCAAGCAGCGACTGCCTGCAGGCGCTGCCGACAGTGTCAGTGGCGCCTTTTTGTAGTGGGTACACCACCATGCTTAGGGGGTGCACATACACCTGCATGAGCCCACTAGGTGTAGCCCCTGCATCAGAAACACCCAACACAACTCCACCCCCTGGGAAGATCTATTAAAAGAGGAGGTCCTTCACCCAAAGTCTTCCTCTAGCATCTGACCATGTCTCATTCTCCTGTTCTGCCCACCTGGACTGCATGTTCTGTGCAGCATCTAACCACAATGGTCAGAGATGCAATTTCATAGTGAGGACAAGTCAAAGGCTTATTATAGCCTCAAGGACCTTAAGTTACATTAGCTTCGAGGCAGCCTGCTAGAAGGTGGATGGTTGTTGCAACAATCCACACCATAAAGTGCTTTGAGACAAAAGAAAAGTGGCCTGCGGAGCGTATAGACTGATTGGAGGAGTCCTTTTCTGGGCATCCTTTTTCCCCAGCAAAAGAGTTGGGACTACAGTTTACAACAGGAAAGATAAAGTGTTCATGGATCCAAGCCCATATTGAAATTTCACGTTTCCCTCCAATGCTTCTTTACTCTTCATAAAACCAAAGGTCTGATTTAGACATGAATCCTTTTCCTCTCTGGATGTGACATTGTCATCCTACTATAAAACAAATTGGCTGCCACCCTCTTGACTTGCGTATAATCCTTCAGTCTATCCTGGAGCTGTCCCATGAATGTGAGGCTAGACAACGCTTTAGTTTCCTTTATACACCATGGTAATAGACAATGCATAAAACTCTTGGTAGAATAGTGTGAAGTGGGTCAGCAGCCTACAGCCTGCAGGCAGCAAAAGGTTGCCTACCTGTAACGGGACCCCCTAAGACCCATTATTTAAGTGGAGAAAGGGCAATATTATATAGCTGTAGACTATTGCAGGCAGATTCACAGAAGTTTAAATAATTGAATGCCATTTGCAAAATGCTAAGTAGATGATGGGAGATGCAGGCAGGAGCTTTAAAGCTGCAGAAAGCAAGTCACAAAAGAAACAGACTACAGGTACAGAGCTCAAGGCTCCTAAAAGTAGTGGCTGCAGCAGAGCTGAAGGGCTAATGAGAAACCCCTGTACTTGGCTGAGAGAGTCACAGGTCAGGGGATGGGAAGGAGACCAGGGTAGTATAAGCCTAGCTTCTGGGCTTGAGGTAACATTCTGGCCCAGATCCTGCAGGAAAAAGAAGATCCCAGAAGAGTGTTGCAAACCTGGCCCTGTGAGCCATGTGGATGGGGTCTCTTGGAATGAGGGATGATGTAGTGAGTAGCTCAGAGGATATGAGGCTGGTGGGTAGAAGGCAGCTAGCAAGCAAGTAGCTCACGGGGGTTGAAGTTGGAAATAATAGGAAGCAGTGGAAACATGGCAGAGCCTAAGGGTTATAGACAGAAGTGAGGATAGTCTCAGTGAAAGGCAAAGGCAACCCCCAGTATGAGTGTATCATTGTATTCATGAAAGCAGCGAGGCACGGGATGGCTCGAAGGGGAGTGTGGAGGCCACAGAGGGGTATCCTGGAGAGGACATTGGTAACTGGTTTGGTTCGCAGAGGTTATGAGTCCTGCAGAATCACTGAAAGTGCCCAACTGGAGACACTGCACTGATTACAGAGTTTAGGGGAGCTGATGTTGGGTGCTTGATCCCAGGGGCTATGTTCAAGTAGAACCTCCCAGGGGCCCAGTGAATGGAGGTAGAGCCAATAAAATGGCCTACAGAACCATGCTGAGTGGTAAGCAGGCCCAGAGAACTGAAGCAGCAATGTTGGGAACACCTAAAAGTTCTTCAATAAACAAAGCTTTGGCTAAGCACAATTATTTATACAAAATTACACATTTTATGGGAAGAAAAACTCTGGATAAACCAGAAGTCTGGATAAATGAGGTTCATATAAATCAAGTTGACTAATATAATGCCTATCTTATTTCAAGATGTTTTATGTTTGTTCTATAAATTGTTTAGCCTTTGAAAACCTCTCATAAAAGAGAACCTAAAGTTTGATTTCTTTCAGTTTGTGCTTTGAAAATAGTGGGGTGAGGCAATCTAAATATTTGGCAGGTCATGACAATAGCTGAAGGAAAAATTTAAAAAACAAAAAAAAAAAATCACTTATTCTGGACTGTTATAAAAGTGGGAACTCTTATTTTGCTGATTTTCATTAAGTTTCACTTTAAATGCCTTGTAGCGGATTGGGGGTTATTGCTAGCTCAGGTAGTCTTTTTGCCTTCACCCAGTTTTTTATTTCCTGGACACACTTGCCTTTCAGAAACACCAGAATATAAATCAATCCTCAATAACACAACTCAACATTGTCCATACAGGATATACTCACAGTCCTGGGTCTCTTCTAGCCCTGAGGAGGGGCCTTTAGCTCACTGCTGCTTCCTCCACACTGCAGTCTTCTTCTGCCTGGCTTGGCTCCAGTCCTTTCCTGGTGCAGCTGCCTCCAACCTCACAGTCTTGGATCTCTCCCCAGAGCCCAAGAAGTAGCCTAGCTCAGTTCTGCCACCACTAGCCTGGCTCCTCTCTCCTCCCCATTTCTTTAGCTTCTTCTCAGACTCCTTTTCCCAGGAGGCTTTAAGGTTCCTGTGGGCCAGCTAACTGTTTGAATCAGTTGGCCCAGTCTTCCTAGGTAGCCTGTAATCACTCCCAGCTGCTTGGAGCTGGGCTGTACTCCCTGTAATTCTGCAGACTCCTACAGCCTAGTGTGTACAGGCTGCTGCAAGCTTCTGCCAACCAGTCTGCTACACGCCTTTATGAAAAAAAATAAACCTATAAAAACAAGAAGTATTAGAAGTAAATGTTGATAGTTAGATCATAACCACAGCTTAACCTTCTTACATTGATTTGTGAATGATAAGTTGTACCAATTAAAATGTCAAAAGACACAAAGAAACTGTCTTCCAACATAGACAGCACATCTTCCTCTGAAGAATAAGAACGTTTATACAACTTGCTTCTGTAAAACTCCACCGAATTGCTTCCACAACTGACTCACTTATTAACTTAATGGCTTACATGCCATTGTGCAATATTTAATAGATTTGAATGTTTCGTTCTAACTAACAGATCCCTGGGAATTTATAAACTTATTCATAATGTCTGTGATATTGTCACAGTCTGTTTTAATCAGGTCATTAATCTGTTTGTCACAATAACCTCACTAGTTGCAACTGAGATTTAGGGAAAGTTTAGTTTGACTCTAATGGGGACTGCCTATAATCTGTCATTATACTTTGTGATCTAGCATCTGTGGATCAAGAAATTAAATGCTCTTATAGTCTGTTTATCCTTGGAAACCCTGCTAATGCAAGCTGTAGGCAATATTTGATACTTTTTACCTACAGACCTTACTAGAACTAGCGAGGAGAAATGTTCTGTTGGAGCCCGGAATGCAAGGAGAGAACTGATTTCTACATCTACGGATATTAGAACCATTTTTTGCATAGTGCCCTGAAAAGGTACTGGTTCTAGCCAAATTAGGTGGATTTCATTCTGTGGTGAAGAATCCACTGTGAATTCTTTGCAAAATGTTTTCCCAAGCCACCAGGATCTGTGATGATGTTTTAACAGCTTTTATTCTGCAATATAAGGCCAGATCCTCAGTTAGCATAGCTCAATGCAGCTCCATTTGTTTTAGTAGAACACAGCCTCTACTGGCCATATCCTTTTATAGTAGTCAGCTATATCTCTACTTGTTTGTGTAATTCATTTACTATCATATTTTTTGTTAGGTGTCATGGACCACTGGGGGTTGCAGTATTCTGTTATTTGTTTCCTGGTAAGGGATCCAGGGATTCTTTCAACCCTTCTCAAAGACCTGAAGATCTCATCATTTCCTGCTGTTTACTCCCCTCTCATCTTTAGTTGAGCAATATCAGAGGACCTTTGCTTCTGGAGGATAAATAGGCAATGCTCCTTCCAGAATCCACTGTTGAACATGGGAAAGTAGAGCTGGAAGGGACCTCACAAGGTCACATAGTCCTGCCCCCTGCTCAAGGCAGTATCATCCTTGACTAAACCATCCCAGCCGAGGCTCTTGAAAACTACCAAGGATGTGGATTCCACAGTTGCTCTAGGTAGTCTGTTCCAATCCTTGACCACCCTAATAATCAGAAAGTTCTTCCTTAATCTCCAGCCTAAACTTCCCAGCTTCAGATTGCTTTTAGTTTTATCCTCTATGGTAATGGATAAAAGCTCACCTCCCTCCTCTCTGTAATCACCCTTCAGGTTTCATGATTTCCTTAATTTATTATTCAATGTTTATAAAATGGTTTGAAAGTTTAGTATGGATGATACATTTTGTAAGGCATTAGAAATACCTAACAATGCCTAATAACTAACCAAGGGGTGAGACTAAAAGTTTTATATACAGTAACCCATAAATATTCTCCATTTTCCTCTCTTATCTAACTAGGGGTAGATAACAGAAAATAGCATGAAATAATGCTCAGCCCCAGGGAGTTACCTTGCTGTCCCTATATCATTCCTAACTTCAAGCCCAGGAAATACAAGTTGAGGATCTACTTTCATGGTACTTCATTATGGCTAAATCCCAGAGCCAGTATAGCGTGACTGATTTATTAATCTCAAGGTGTAGCGCGCCAGGAAGGCTGCCAAGTTTTTTGAATATGTCTTTGTTGTCTTTTAGGATGTAGGCTGCCAAGATATGTGGTTTGGCTGAGTGGAAGTACTTTTTGTTTCCGTATGTCAACACAGCAGGCTGGTTGATCAAAATGTATTATTACTAAGTTCCTACATGCATGGGATACTGGCAGATAAAGTGGTTTCCGTATCATTTCAATAACTGGGAGCTATGGGATATGTTCCTGTCCTTGATGTTTGCTCTTGGCTCACAGTGGGTTTAGGAGCATTAGAGTGATTGCAACTTTATAGCACAGACTAATAGCAGAAAGGTCATGAGGTTAGGAGAACGTTGTTTTTGCTATGGATGTTTGGGGCTGAAAGGAAACAAGGATGTTGGCCTCCATTCTTAATGATGGGGTGATTGGGTGATTTATTTATGAAACCCACAGCAATGCAAGAATTAATACATAAACACCACTCAAAGATTCATATCTGGATGATAAATACACTGTTCATCTGAGCTCCCAGGACTGGAGGAATCAACAGGCCAGCTAGGGATTCCAAAAATTCAAATATTTTGGTCAGCTTGATGAATGCTTTCTTCTTCCCTTTGCTCTCCAGTCAGTGCCTTACCGTCAAGCCCCTGGGTTGGACTTTAATCCTTTTTGTACTCTCTCCTCCATGCCCATTCTGCTTGTTGTGGCATACTTTAAAAAAGATGTGATATAACTCAACCAATTTGGAGCATTTCTGGCCCTTTTTATAATCAGATCTCAAGACCCAGTGAACCAGAAACAAAAGATCTGGTGACCCCTTCTCACATACCTGTGGCCTGATTGGCTGTCATCCCGCTTGGTTCTCATTGATCTGTGTTTCTCAGGAAGCTCAGCTCCTTAAACAACTTACAGACAATCAGTAACAGAACTACTCAGCAGGTGCATCTACATGAGACGTTTACTGTGCAACTGCCTAATTGGCTCCCTCAGTAAAACACCACTGTCTACACGTGTGGTGCTATTAGGATGGAGTAAATTAGTTATCTCTGCCATAGGATAGTACTGCCAGACACAAGTACTATCCTACAATGGAGTTATTTACTCTGCTGCAACACACATGTAGATGCTGATGGGTCTGGCTGGGGCACGAGGGTGCTTCAGTGTAGGAACTCCCTGCTGGCTACCCCCATACTGAACACCCTCATGTCCCAGTCAGCCCCTCTGCAGCATGCTGAGCTGGGTCAGAGCAGCACCAGGCTGGCAGCCTGACCCTCAGGGACCCTTGCTAGCTGGACCTACACTGTCCCAGCTTGACGTGCTGCAGTGTCAGGCGCACATGCAAATGGCACACTCAGGAGAACCGGAATTCATTCAGGCATGCTAATTGCACATGTAGATGCACCCAGTGAGTCCTCCTTATTCCTGCCTAGCCTTTTCTCCTGTTCCTGCTCTGCCTAGTGTCTCTTCTAGTCAGCTGGCCCCTGCTTCAGACTTCACATCCTCAGCTTGCATATGTGCTACAGTGCTCTGACCACACATGCTCTTTCTTATAAACAAAGATTGGAGGTCAAAGTATGCATTTCTCATCTCCACCCCCAAAGGAAGCAATAATTCTAAATCAGTGCAGTTATAGAATTAGAAGTGTTGCTATCATCTGAAATCAGGGCTGGGGGCTTTCTTCAGAAGATGTCCACAATTTTACCAGGTAGAAATGAATCTGGTGCACATTTCAGCCAGTAATAATGGTGTTTCCCAATTGTCATATTGGTCTTGTGTGTGAAAATAGAAGCTTTACACCACTGTGTATCACAATACAGGAAGCACACATTCAATGTCCATTAGCAGATGGAGACTATAAAAAATAAGAAAAATATTTAATGTACTGTAACCATTTTTACTATAATAGTTCTGTTTGGCAATTTAAAGCCAACATATCATCTATGACAGCGGATCCCAAACTGTGGTACACGTACCACCAGTGGCACGCAGGAAACCTGTGAGTGATACGTAGAAGGCTGGGAGGAGAGGCGGGGCACACACACACACACACAGACACAGACACCTAGCCCAGCCTGCTGCAGGAGGTCAGGAACACAGTCCAGCTGCATGTGAAGCAGTGCCCAGCAGGTAAATGTGTTGAGGGGAAGGGGCAGGGGAAGGGGGCAGGGGGTGCAGATTGAGGCCCCCATGGTGAGGGAGGGAGTGGGGCAGAAGCAGAAGCAGGGGTGGATGTGGCCCCAGAGCAGGGTAGGGAGGTGGGACAGTGGGAGCCCCAGGTGGCTTATCCAGGGGCAAGGGGGGGTGGGGGGGGCTTCTGCCACTGTGCACATCCCAGGGTAGGCACAGGGGGCACCTGCCCTCTGGGTTTGCGCATGGGGTGGAGGTGGCTTCTGTTGCCTCGTGGCCACATGTGACTCCATGTGCCTTCTGTGCACTGGCTGCCCAACCCTGGAAGACACCGCTGGCAGCGCCTGCAGGTGGTCACCGACCCCTGGACAGCACTCACCACCTCCACCCTGCCACTAAAGGTGCCAGTGGTGTCTGGGAGCTCCCCCGCTGGGAGCTCCCCCGCTTACCGCCTCCGAGCTCTCACCGCTGCCATGCTCCCACAGCCGCTGGGGACACGCACCATTCATGGACCTGGCAGGGTCCGTGCAGCTCCACAAGGGGACACCACCTGGCCAAGGCAGGATGCCGGGCTCAGGGGGGCTTTTGGCTTTGAGCTCAGTCTCCCTGCATGCTGGGCACAGTGCAAGCGGGGTGCAGCTGCCAGTATTGCAAGGGCCTGTCCACAGGAGCTCCCGGGAACAGCTGCCCCAGCCTGCCCAAGCCCTGGCCTTGCCCGCCCGCAGCTCCCCTCAGAGGGTCAGGGCTGGGGCCAGGGCCTGGGCAGGCATTGCACAGGGCCGCTACGCTGTGGGATCCCGGCCAGCTCAGCTCTGAGTGGCACCTGCAGCAATTATTCCCAGAGACCAGGGAGTCCCTGCGGCCTGGGGTTCTCCACCCTGCTCACACTGTGCCTGGCACACACAAGCTGATCCAGGAGCTTCCTGAGCCTGGCATCCTGCCCCAGCCAGGTGGCATTCCCCAGTGGGCAGGGCAGCTGCACCCCATCCCCATGGAGCTGAGCACCCTGCTGTGGCCTAAGTCTGCAGA